TGACTTTCCAGAGAGCAGAGGCAGTAGAGACAGAGGAGATGACCAGATCTGAGACCTCATCGGTAATGGTGGAGAGGATCCAACCCTGGAGGAGAGCGTCGAGTTGGAACCATTCGTCGTCGTCATCAGAGAGGGGGACGACGGAGCCATCGATGTAGCCCTTGAGGTTGAATCGCCGAACCAGAAGAAGGAAGAGTCGGCTCCACTTTTTGTAATTAGGTTGGGAGAGACTGAGTTGAACGGGGACATGAAGTTTCATGTTTGAGATTGTTGTGAAAGCAAGATGAGGAGGTTTGGAGGAGTTATTTTGGGAAGTGATCTCGCTGTTTTCGGCCATGGTGAGGGGAAGAAGAGGACCGCCGAAGAGGAGAGGGTGTCGCCGGTGAGGAGAGCTGTCGTAGGGAGAGTCGGCGCTGACGGCGAGAGAGAAGGCCGAACGAGAGAGAGAGGGGGTTTAGGGTTTTTGATTTTTAGGCTCTGATACCATGTAGAAAGGTTAATTTCATTAATTGAATATGTGGGAGTACATGTCTATATATACACAAGGGTTCCTAATCCTATACAAGGTAGGAGTCAATAATAGGAAACAATATATTCCTAATCCTATACAAGGTAGGAGACAATAATAGGAAACAATATATTTACATTAAATATAGAATATATTTAACAATTAGTAGCAAAATTTTAATTGCTACAATTATTATTATTTTATTGTGGCAAACCTCTTATAATAGCTTATATTTGTGAGAAGTTAAATTCTCTACAATGTTATTATTATTATTATTATTATTATAAATAGAATGAAAGTTTAATTAAAAGGGGGCATTGCTTCAAAAAATGATGCACTAGCTTGAGACAGTTTCTAAATAAGAATACAAAAGGAAACAACCAATAGACTTACATCCAACAATATCGGATTAGCATGATCAGCATCTCCCATGGACCCTAATTTTCAGCTGATATGCGAGACCTTCACAAGGATCTTTTCATTGTCATAATCTAGCTATGGCCACCTGCATACTTCATGAAAAGGCAAAAGACAAGCTATCCTACAAGTTGAAGCAAACTAAAAGCCAAGATAAAATACACTGTAGCATTGTGGCACGGGTAGGAATCAAAGTGGAGAACTGATTGCAAAATGCACTCCCCATCGAAAATTGTGATCTCTCCATTACATACAAAAGTGGAACATCCCTTTACTACCTACTTCTGCTCAATTGCATCCGCTAACTTTATGTCTTGCAGTTTTTTAAGAGGATACCAAAATAGAGAATAGTGGATTCCCAATGTGTGTTCCGATAGCTCCCGTTGGCCTTGGTTTGCTAAGCCTCATGTTTTGATGTTAACAAACAATATAAGAGCTTAACGTTTGTTTAAGTGTTTCAGGTAAAACAAGAATCCAGTAAGATTCGGTACTCAAGAACGAAGTCGAAACACTAAACTAGCGTAGAATATAGGTAGAAACCGATGTAAGGATATGACTTTATATACCTATATTCACAAGCTCAAAAGCACTCACAAAATATGTTTAAAACCATCCCATAAACATTTTCAAACATCTAAAAGGTTTTAAACTCAAACACGAAGGATTAAGGGAATTTTGGAAAAATCATGACAGTGGCACGGTACCCCTAGCGGTACCCCAAACAGTAGGGTATACCGCCTACACGGTACCCCCATACCGTGTAATGGTACCTAGGTACCGGACGGTAGGCGTAGACAGTTGGCCCAACCCGTCCTAACCAGGTACCGCCAGCGCCGAATGGATTTTTGGTGTTACACGGTACCGAGGTACCGCTACTCACGGTACCCCCCTACCGTACGCACGGTACCATGCTACCGTGTGAACGGTACCGGCCTACCGTGACCGTTGGGTTACTGTTCCTGATTTGTGATTTTGAATTAAATCAACCCTAATCACCTCCCAACGACTAATTAACATCTTCCACTATAAATACAAGCCTCATCCTTCATATTTCTTCAAGAAACAAAGCTCTAAACATCCTCTCTTTTTATTCTAAGTGTGTTCATCCTTTTATTAATTATTTTGAATATTTTGGCTATTTTAAGAGCCTTAAATTCCTGATTTTTATACACACACTTTGAGCGTGTGTTTCTAGTTATATACTCTCATATTCATAAGTTTGAATTGTATTTTTGAGAGAGTATACTTTCCTTCTACACCGGCTAAGTTTTGTTCTTCATTTTTATATTCAAGCTGTTGTGTAGAACTCTTGCTTGTGTTCTTCAAACACATCGTTATACGGTCGAGAATAGCCGTTAAATTCTCATATTATATCGGTCGAGGAGAGCCGTTTAAATCCTTGGGTAAAGGTTCAAGGATAGCCTTTGAAATCCTTAGGGGAACGGTAGAAGATAGCCGTTAAATCTTCATTGTAAACGGTTCGAGATAGCCGTTGTGAAATCTCGGAGTGAATCCTATTGGCAAGGATTGTTTGCCAAAACTAGTGCGGTGCTTTGACGGAGTTCAAGAGGCCGGGACTTAGTGGATTCGCAAATCCCTAAGGAGGAGCCTCGAGGTACTGGAGTAGGGGTTTCCCGAACCAGTATAAAATCGATGTGCATTTTATTTACGCTTTTATTTCTGCGTTTTATATATTGCTTCCGCATTTGCCAACACAGTTTTTATCAAACTCCGAAAAGATTTTAAACGCCTTATTCACCCCTCCTAAGGCGTGGGCACAACGACTAAACCGACTTATAATTGGTATTAGAGTAGTTTCGTAGTGGAAAGTGCTTAACCGCATCTACGACAAAGATCCACTTGTTGTGTCTTTTTTAAATTTGAATTTTTAAACTCAAAATTTTATTATTTTCTTTAAATTCAAATTTATTAAAAAATGGCCCAAATGGATTCCCAAAGCATCCACCGCCTTCCGTTTTTCAATAGCCAAAATTATTCTTATTGGAAAATGCGGATGGAATATTTTATACAATCTATTGATTTTGATATATGGATAAATGTACTTCATGGGCCATTTGTGCCGAGTAGTGGTAACCTTGCAGATTTATCTTCGGAGGATAAGAGAAAATTATCCATGAATGCAAAGGCAATCAACATCCTTCATTGTTCTCTTGGCCCTGACGAATTTGCAAGAGTGAGTACATGCAAAACGGCCAAGGAAGTATAAGATCTACTAGAAGCCACACACGAAGGGGACATCTCAACAAAGCAAACAATGATTGCCCTAGGAAACTCGGAGTACGAATCCTTAAAGAAAGGGTCAAGTGAGACAATCCAAGACATGAACAAGAGGTTCAACGAGATTGTCAACAAATTGAGTAAGTTGGGTAAGACGTATACTACTTCCGAGTTTAATACGAAAATTCTATTTTCTTTACCTAAAGAATGGCATAGTAGTATTGTAGATTTATTACCCAAATGTGATAAGGCCGAAACCGCCCACATTTGGTCTTCCTTGTATTCTCACGAACTTTTGTTGAGAAAGATTAAAGAGGAAGAAATGAGAGAAAATCCCAAACTTACCAACGCCTTCAAAGCTTCAAAAGACTCATCAAGTGAAGAGTCAAGTGAGTCAAGTGATGATTCAAGTGACTCAAGTTCTTTGGAAGAGTCAAATGATGAAGAAGATGAAGAGAAGGCAATAAGAATGAAATATACGGATTTCCTCAAATGGAAGAAGTACGTGAAGAGGAAAGAAGTATTTTCAAAGCCGAAAAAAGAGCGGGATAAGCCAAGGTAAGTTTCTCTTGCTCATTGGGATAAGATATTTTGTTTGGTTTTAATTCTTTTCAAAAAATAAAACCTTATCTCATACGTATTTTTATTTGTTTTAGCCTTGATTTGCATGATTAAATAATATTTTCAAAATCCATTTTAAATCATGCCTTTTATAAAATAATCCTTAAAAATCACTGAAAAATAAAGTTTTTTTTAAAAAAAACTTACATAATTTAAGGGGGAGTTTTCATTTTTATGGGAAGTTTAGTTGTAAATGCACCTTTTGCCCAATGATCTCCAAACTATCATTTTTCCTAAAAATTCATTTTGATAGGGGGAGGGTTTCAAGAAGTTATACATAGTTAAAATTTTCAAAATACCCTATTTGATTTTGACAAAGGGGAAGAAGATGTATACTTCAAAGTGGTGCATATGCAACTTGACTTGAGTGCATTCTTGTGTAACTATTTGCATCAAACTTAAACTTTTAATAAACACAATAAAAGTTCAAAGTGAGTATTTTCAAGATGCTTATTCTTAAGGGGAGCTTGCTTGCTTCATTATTTTACTCCCGCCTAACTCACTTTGAAGTATATTGTTTGTCAACATAAAAAAGGGGGAGATTGTTAGCCTTGTTTAGCTAAGCCTGATTTGTGATTTTGAATTAAATCAACCCTAATCACCTCCCAACGGCTAATTAACATCTTCCACTATAAATACAAGCCTAATCCTTCATATTTCTTCAAGAAACAAAGCTCTAAACATCCTCTCTTTTTATTCTAAGTGTGTTCATCCTTTTATTAATTATTTTCAATATTTTGGCTATTTTAAGAGCCTTAAATTCCTGATTTTTATACACACACTTTGAGCTTGTGTTTCTAGTTATATACTCTCATATTCATAAGTTTGAATTGTATTTTTGAGAGAGTTGTTCTTCATTTTTATATTCAAGCCGTTGTGTAGAACTCTTTTTTGTGTTCTTCAAACACATCTTTATACGGTCGAGAATAGCCGTTAAATTCTCATATTGTATTGGTCGAGGATAGCCGTTTAAATCCTTGGGTAAAGGTTCAAGGATAGCCTTTGAAATCATTGGGGGAATGGTAGAAGATAGCCGTTAAATCTTCATTGTAAACGGTTCAAGATAGCCGTTGTGAAATCTCAGAGTGAATCCTATTGGCAAGGGTTGTTTGCCAAAACTAGTGCGGTGCTTTGACGGAGTTCAAGAGGCCGGACTTAGTAGATTCGAAAATCCTTGAGGAGGAGCCTCGAGGTACTGGAGTAGGGGTTTCCCGAACCAGTATAAAATCGGTGTGCATTTTATTTACGCTTTTATTTCTACGTTTTATATATTGCTTCCGAATTTGCCAATACCGTTTTTATCAAACTCCGAAAAGATTTTAAACGCCTTATTCACCCCCTCTAAGGCGTGGGCACAACGACTAAACCGACTTACACCTCCCCCATCATCAGCATAAAAAAGTACATGTGTTAAGACATTCAAGTTGCTCAAAAGATCAAGCTATGAATCAGAAGATCATTCACATTACATTGAATCAGAAAAACCTTTAAAAAGAGTCCCAAGAAGCCACAAAGCCAGAGCTAAGAGTTCTAAAACTAAAGCCATTCACAATCTTTAAATCCCTAAATATGGAGCTAACAGCTACCCAACTAGTAGATGTTTGTTAGTTAGTTCTTCATTGATATTAAAAATGATAACAAACTATAGTAATCATTTCTTAAACTAAGGTACAGAGCAAATCATTTAGATCATTAGTTTTTAGCTATTTGTATTGTTATGGTTAATCTTAGATTTAATCTAATATAAAGATCTACATTAAATGGAGACATAAAACCTAATGAGATTTTAGAATCACCAGCAACATTTCATTAGTGAATTTTTAGTAATTAATTAGTACCTTTATCATTCAAGGGGGCTATACTCCTTGAAAGTTCTTGAACATGTTGAGATGAATCACATGATGGCATCTATACACAACATAAATTGAGAGATAGTAGTCATATTCATCAAAGAACACGTAATAAAATATGTAGAAATATTTACTAGTAACCAGAGAGAGAAACCTGTCTTTCCTCTAGTGCAAAGATACAACCTTTATAAGCTTTGTTAATTTTAGAAACTACTCTTGAATTCATTTCAGCACCAATCCTCTTTTGCTCAAGAACTCCTGTAATATTTTTTGTTCAGATAAGTAATAAACAGCAACGCGTACTCCATGTCCCATCACAGTTAGAAGAAATAATAAATAACGAGAGGTTATCTATAATTTTTATATTAGGCTAGCTAATGAAAAGAGATTATAGTTAGAAGAAACACACATTCATCTTATTTGTAGGAAGAAGCCAAAAAATATCAACACATTCAATTTCCATAGAAAGCATATTATGAACTTTGTATATCACCGATTGAGTTTCACTTGACATAGGAGACTTACGCAGGCATACAAAAATTAACAAATCTGAGAATAATTATGAAATCAACTTTAAGATCAAAAAAACAAAATTTATGGCAGAGAGGGACAAAACATTCATGCCATTTAAGTAAAGAAAGAAAATAGGGAAAATATAGCATAATCTTCTTCTTCTCTTTTGTTCTAAAACCAGAATGATTCAATCCTAATACTCCAAAAATAGTGTTACATGGAAGTTCCCATAAAAGCATTAACATCTCAATGTTTTGAATTCGAAACTATTCAGAATTCGAATACTCCAAATATTAGTATTATATAAAAGTTCCAATAAAGTTATTAAATCCTCAAGATTTTGAATTTCATATGACTAACAATAAGAAACAACATTAAAATCAGAAACTTGACCAAAACAAAAAACCCTTAAGAAGCCAACTGCCGAACAACCAATCAAATTAATTTTCTCAGCAAAGATCCATATCTTGGTGTCTTTAGAGCAGAACCTTTTAATTGAAGAAAAAGAAGAAGAAAATAGCAAAGATGTTGATGAACACAAACACACAATAATAGGTAAACAATTGATAAGATCCAAGAAACACAAACACTTCAACAAATTACCTTAGAAAACTAGGTAGTAAAATCTAGAGATCTACGATTCATTGCAGATTCAAACAATAGTTTAAAGAATTCATTCAACAAATTCAAATTGAGGCCACGATCTAAAAAGGATCGGAGTACCTGTTGCGGAATATATGTCGTCTCCCAATCCGGTGAATCGAAGATCTGAAAATCAAGGGTTGGACAATTTTTTTTGACAAAGGGTTGAACAATTGATCGTGCACAAACTGAAATACTCTAAAAAAAAAGAAATAAAATTGACAGGAGGAGGAGAGTTACCGTAACCGGTATGTTTACAAACAGAAAAGATTAGGGTTCAGGATTTTATGCGGAAACCATGGAGGAGTATAATTTTGGCGGGCGTTAATTTTGTTTGGAGTAAATTATAAAATAATTTTCCCTCTAATAATTTTATTTTGCCTCATTGTAAAATAAAATTGTTCGAATATAGTAGCATTTCTATAAAATTGACACAATAGAACTAATATTTTGTGGAAAATTTCTAATTGCCACAAATAATTGTAAACTATTTAGGTTTTGTGGCAATTTCTTAATTTGCTACCATACCTTTGCCACAAAATGTCTTATTTCTTGTAGTGGGGTCAAGCAAGGGGACCCTCTCTCCCCACTGCTATTTATCATTGCTAGTGAAGTCTTCTCTAAGATGATTAAAACATCTATGGAAAGGAAGTGTATCCAAAGGTTCAACACAGGAAGGAGTTTCCTGTCAGTCACTTGGCATATGTTGATGGCCTCATTATTTTCTTAAGAGGAGGAATTAGAAACTTCTTAAAATTCAGAGCCTTGATAAAGGAGTACACTGAAGGGTCTGGACAGGAGGTTAACTACAGCAAATCTAGATTCTATGTTGGGAGAAAGGTCCATAACAACAAGATCACTAGAATGGAAGCAGCCCTAGGGATGAAAAGTGATAAAATGCCTTTTAAGTATCTAGGAGTTCCAATTTGCAAGGGAAAGATTAATAAAATCCACTGTCAGGGACTCTTAGACCACTTTGAAAAGCATATAACCTACTGGTATAGAAAAATGTTGAACCGTATGGGAAGACTCATCCTCATTAAACATGTTCTTTCATCAATTCCTTTACACTACTTGGCTATACATTGTCTGCCTTTATCTATTATCAATCAGCTGAATATGGTTATGGCTAATTTCTTGTGGGGTTGCACTAATGGTAAGGCCAAACATCACTGGAGAAATTGGGAAGCTATTTGCAAACCTAAAGAAGAGGGCGGTGTTAGAAAAACGTCCTAACGCTAGAGGGGGGGGGTAAATAGCGTTTGAAACGAAATTAACGCAAGAATAAATAATTAAAAGCGTAAAGTAAAGTGCAAGGAAGAAGCCTACCGTTTTTACCCTGGTTCACCACAACTTGTGGCTAGTCAAGCCTCCCGAGAGACTCTCTCGAGCTACACTATCAACGTTAAGCTTAATGGTGCTTAACAAACCCATACAACTTGAGAGTTCGAGTCTCACGAACCTCAATGAACCTTCGAAGGAAACAACCCTTCCTTCGAACTACTCAAGAGAAAAGCTTTCTCTTATCAAGTGTCTAAGAACACTAAATCACTCAAGAACAATACTCTCTTTTAGAGTGGATAATGAGTAACTAAGAACGCTCAAGAACACAACATGAACTTCACAAAAATGGCTCTCAAAAAGCTATGAATAATGTATGAATGTTATGCAATGAAAGAATAGGAGTTGTGAAGTAATGTGATGATGTAAAACAGACACAAGCACCCCATGGATTTGATTAAAATTGGATCTGCTGAAAATCCTCTAGACAACGCTGTCCATGGCTTGGACATCGCTGTTCTATGTTTGGATTTTGAAAAATGGGAAGCAGCGGTCAAGCCAACAGCGATGTCCAAAACCCCTACATTGCTGATTTGGCTGTTGACTTCCAAACAAGGAAAGGTTTAGCCATAAATTCCTTCCAACGGTTAGGTGCCTACATCGATATTCATTACTTGAACATCGTTGTTCAGGCCTGACTTTGAAGGTTGACGAATTGGCCTGACATCGTTGTTGCTGGGTTAACAGCGCTGTCCAAAAACTTTCTGGCAAGGCATTTATTTTTGGCTTAGGTTGGACAGCGATGTAGGGAAGTTTACATCGCTATTCTAGATGTTTCTAGAAACCCAACCTTGGCTCAACAGCGATG